CACAAGACACACAAATACCGCATATAGCATGCATACCACACACATGCCACACAACCACAAGAATACCATTCACACACACCATGTATTCACTGAGACACCAAACATAACACATGAACAACTCAAAAACACAAAACACTTAACACACACACACACACACCAATAACCTACACCACATATACAGCACTCACACCCCACACATAATACAGAGAAACATACAACACACACTACACATACAGAACACACACAAAAACCAAATCACCCAAACACCATATACTCATTCAATACATACCAACCACACAAATACATCATTCAACATTCAAACATCACACACCACACCTACATCATACCTACAACACATTTATACTATAAACTGCACACAACCCATTCATCACATATATACCATTCACACTGCACATACACCACACATAAATACCATACACCATATACTTACCCAACGTATAACACAAACACCACACCAAAAACACAAGATACCACACACATATGCCACACATACCTGTCACACAGTACACATGTACCATGTGCACACACATATCACACAAACATCAAATATACAACACACACCAAACATATAGCACACTGATACACCACAAAAACACCACACACAAATATACAATATGCACTACAGAAATATCAGTCACACACCACATGGGCACCACATATAACGAACCCAACACTGGAACACCCACACCGCTCACAACAGACACTAGCATAAACCACACACTAAGGCAGGTAGCACACACACAACACACAAAACACATAGGGAATATAAACACATACTGCGTACCTGACACTAATACACTATTTACACACCACACATACCAAATATCTGCCACGCAAACATATCACACAACACCATGCACACCACTCATACACCACACATACAACTCTTATACTACACACACTGCACACACAAGTATATGCCACATACACATACATGTTTGACACACCATGCACATCTCACACATAATGCACACACATTACACACAACGCATACTACACACACACCATGCCCCAGTCAAAACCACTCACACTGCTCATATTACCAGACACACACAACACACATACCACACACAGTCCATACACACAGCACACAAGCATCACATACACCAAACATACAGCACACACAAACTACACATAACCCACATATAACACACAAAAACCACACCAAAATATAGCACACTACAGAAATATTATTCATACACCACATATACACCACACACATACCAACATAACACATAAACCACACAAACACACACTAAAACACCACTCAGCACCACACATAACACACACAAAACGCACAACACATACAGAATACACATAACATAATGCACACACATTACCCACATATCACATACACACTACACGTACAACACACACACCACACCTATATCATGCATATAACACATTTATGGAAAAAAACAAAGGTTCAAATAAGAAAGTCCAGATCATGTTTAATATAAATATTCTTTAAAAAAATTTTTTTAATGTTTTATTTATTTTTGAGACAGGGAGAGACAGAGCCTGAACAGGGGAGGGTCAGAGAGAGGGAGACACAGAATCCAAAACAGGTTCCAGGCTCTGAGCTGTCAGCACAGAGCCCGACGCGGGGCTCGAACTCACGGACTGCAAGATCATGACCTGAGCCGAAGTCAGCCACTTAACCAACTGAGCCACCCAGGCACCCCTAAATATTCTTTCTTTAGAGGATTAGCATGTCACAAAGGGGTGTCCCATAGGCAGAATCTAGCCTGAACCTGTTTTATTTAGTGCAGTGTTTAAAATTGGAAAAACTCACCCCCCAAAATTCTGTATTTCTAACTTCTGGTTAAATATTATAAATTCCAGGAATCCTAGGTCTCCTGTCCAAACTGGCACTCAGCCAGAGTGGTATAGCAACAACCCCTTTGAATGGAAATACACTCTTTAATTCAGCCTGGTCCTCAACACTATTGTTTCGGCCCAACCTACCCAGGATTTGGGGATTCCTGACATACTGGCTCTGACAAGAATGAGCTCTTAATGAAACAACTAGAAAGTACATTTTGAAAACCTCTAGAGGTACATATCATGCTTCTGTGTGTGCAGAGTAAATAGCTTATGTATGGTTTCTCTCAGGAAGCCAGTGGAAACAGAGTTGTAAGTATTTTTACAGATAAATGTATTTATTTACCACCATGAATAACATTCAAAATTTGGTCAGTTTATGCATAAAGGTACATGGGTAGAATATAAATGAATTTTAACAGGGATGGTAGTGTTAAAGCCCATTGGCTCAATCTAGGTAAACTTTTGAAAAGACTTAAATTTTAAATAAAGTGTAAGAATGGAAAGAATGGGATTTAATAGGAAACCATCACAAAGACCTCTTTAAAGTATAAATTATTAATAAATTTGGAGAATGCCTTTTCCTTCCAGTGTGATACAGGCAAAATGTAGGAGAGAAAAGCCAGCAAAGACCTTACTGTATTTTCTTGACAACTGTCTTTTAATTTTAGGCTCAGGCACCAGAACAAATAGTGACGTTATATGAAGATGAACAGTATCCAGTTCATATGTCATTAGTAGAAATGGGGCTGGCAGACCGAGACGAATGATGTAAGTATCATGACTTCTTGTTCACCCTTATGATCAGCATAAAGCATGCAACTAATATAGTGGAGATTAATACTAAATTGCCCATAAAAGCATCTTTGGATTTTCCTTGATTTCTCAAAGAATGATAACAAAGCTCAACAAGACTCTTCTAGACTTCTTTGTAGGCCCTTTTCACCTATTGAATACCAGAACCAGAGAGGATCTGCATCTGTAAGAATGCTTGGAATGGCTATCATGACTATTCATAGTACCAGATAGTTGTTGGGGATGGGCACTAGAAGTAATTTAAGCACACAAGGATATGGTATGCACAGAACACTGTTGAACAATCCATGTCCTAATAAAGCTATTGAACTGCTTGGGTAACCAGTTGTTTATTCATCCACATAAATGTAACAGGTGATTCAGTAACTAGTTTGAACATTAAATTAAGCAAAGGTTTTAAATAACATGCATTTTGTTTTTCAGGTAAACACTTCAGAGCATCTACAGCAGCCCAGAAGAAGGTTTTCTGTTACATGTAGGCCAGTTCAGGCTTACTTTTCTTGACTTGTTCTGCAGTTGTGCTGGCGTTTTTTTTCTTACATGTTAAACTACTAGGAATTGTTTGAAAAAAAAATAGTTAATAAATATTTGCTTTCAAGTATTTTCTGGTTTTATTTTACAATAATTTCAAAAGCAAGTATTTTAGGCATATGAAAAAATGTAGTTCATTTTATAACGAATATATATTCAGTTTAAGTAAGACCTTCTTAGTACAGTTGGAAGCTCCTATAGTGACCTTCCCCAATCATTCTCTTCCCTGAAGAGGTGAACACTGTTGTGATTCTGGTGTTTATTATTCTTACGTTCTTATTTTGCTGCATATGAATGCATCCATAAGCAAGATATAGTACTGCTGTGTATATTTTTTTAATGCGTGCACTATCGCACCTTTAATTTTCTCACTATTGGCACTGTTTATCCATGTTGGTATGCAGAGCTCTACTTTATTCACTTTCACTCTTCTATCTGTGCACATAATTCTGTTGCTAAATATTTAGACTGTTGCCAGTTTTTTCTCAGTTACAAATATGTGTACATGTTACGGGTTTTCTAGTATATGTACTTAGTAGTGGAATTTACTAGGTCACGAGGTGATTGTTCTCCAAAAGGTGGTTTACTCCATTTACTACCATCAGTAGTCTGAGTCCCTTGGCAACATGTGGTGTGGCCAGTATATGATACTAGTATAAAAAGGTATCTTATTATTTCAATATGCATTCACTGGTTTAGTAGTCACTTGTTTGCTTTTTCATATCCTTTGTCCATTTTTGTGTTGTTTGTAATTATGTTATCTGTAGGAATTCTTTACATATTCTGGATATTAATCCTTTGTCAAGTATATATATATATATCTTCTAGTCTGTGGCTTATCTTTTCTTTTTTGTGGTATCTTTAGACACACCATTCATCAAGCTGTTAAGGTTTGCGCTGTCCCTCATTTAAAAATCCTTCCCTATCCTGAGATGATGTATATAACTCTTTATTTGAGAAGTTTGCAACTTTTTTCATATTCAGTTCTTAAATCATCTGGAATTGATATATTTAGCTTTTTTAAAGTTATTGTAGTGACTACAGCAACCTGTAATTATTATGTAAGTGCCTTGCAGGTGCCTTGTCCTTCCTTCAAGGACATCTTGCTTCTGTCAGCCTACAGTTTTATAGGTTATAACATCAGGGTACCTGTGGTTGTTCAGTTAACACCAGCTAGTTATTTTTCACACGCCCTCCATCCTCAAGTGTCCTATTCTGACCACTTACATATCCTCACTGTAACTTTTCTCCTGTGATGCTCTGTACTCACAGAATGAACTCTTCTACCTGTGTTGTTTGACCTATTTATATTTATTCATGGTTTTAACTTCCCATTCCATTATATTAAAGAACCTCTACAGTAGATAAATGCTTTAATTTTAGTACTAATTGAACACAGTATATTCTGACTAGAGACATTCTCTTATTCCTTGACTAAACTTTCTGTGCAAGTCTTGTTCTGTGGCTGATGTGCTCATGAAAAATCTGTGCTATTGTATTTCTTGTACTTCTTGGTTTTTATAACCATCTTCAACAAGAGTCTCATTATTTTTACAGTGTACACAGTTCATAAAGTAATATTTCTTTCCTTAGACATGCATTCAACTGTAGAAGACAGGTGAATTAAAAATGAAAGCTGTTCTTGTACATTTCAAAGAATATAAAAAACTATGATGTTTTATTTTATAATCCAAACATAATCTCTTCCACTTATATATAAATGAAACCACAGAATCCACAAGAAGTGTACATTTTTTGAGAAGAAAATCAAGTTAGTGTTATTTCATGATGAGTCACAGATAGGATCATTACAATTTTGTATCCATTAGGATATTACCATCCTTGTCTTTAACTCTTATTCGACCAGATGTGTACTTTGTTTCTTGATGACCATTTGTATATACGGTTTTAACAGTGCCATCTGGATATTCCCGTCTCTTGAACTGGGCAGTGTGTAGTTCTCTTTGGCCATTATTAAACTCTATGATTTTGTTGCCATCTCTGTAAATTTAAAATAGAATTTATTTAAAAATATTAAATATGTAACAGGAAAATGATCTAAAAGTGGCTTTTGATTCTGACAGTTCTCTCTTTTCTTAAAGCCTCCTGTGGTCCTTTCCTTATACAATGCCTTCTTTGCAAATTCTTTCCACCCTGTTTCTGCTTCACGCTATTAGTTCCAATGATCAAATTAGCACTTAAATGTGCCCATGAAAAGGGGGACGCCTGGGTGGCTCAGTCAGTTAAGCGTCAGACTTCAGCTGAGTCATCTCATGGCTCCTGAGTTTGAGCCCCGTGTCAGGCTCTATGCAGTGACAGCTCAGAGCCTGGGGCCTGCTTCGGATTCTCTTTCTCTCTGCCCCTCTCCTGCTCCCGCTCTGTCCCTGTCTCTCTCTCAAAAATAAACATTAAAAAAATAATAAAAAAGGAAAGGTGCCCATGAAAAGTTTTTAATAAATTTATGTCGTGAAACTACAAAATCCTTAGGTTTGTTTTTTAACTTTAGATGTATTATGCATCTAAGAAAAACTGGGCATTGTATTAAAATACCGCTTTCAGTTTTTACCTTTATTCTTTTCACTAAGTAATGCTTGCTCTTTATCAGGTTGGAAAAGAGACTTTATATTCCTGGGAAGGGGCATGACTAGACTTAAGACCTGTTCAGAAGCCGTGAAACAAAAGAAGCAGTTAATCCCAAGTGGACTGCTTGATGTGCATGCAGGACATTCAAACTGAACCCCCTAAAAATAGGTATGATGTGCTGTTAGAAACAAAGCAAGGTTTATAGATGGTGAATTACCACTTCTCCACACTGTTTTTTTGGTTATTTCTCAGATTTTATGTAAATGTAGTGGCTTTGCGCCACATTTAAGTGTTAGACTTAAAAGCCATTTTGAGAGCCACTGCTTTATCATGTGCAGCCCTGGGACCAGGGATAACAGCATCACCTGAGACCTCATTAAAAATGCAAATTATTGGCATGGGGCCTAGCATTCTGCAATTGAACAATCCCCTCAGGTGGTTTTAATGCACAGTGAAGTTGAAGAACCACTGCTATAAATCAAAAATGCCAAAATAATCCTGAATGAACTAATATCTGACATTTGCCTGAGTTTAGATGAAAAAAGACTGGCCATGAGTTAACTGTTGGAAAATGGGGGCGCCTGGGTGGCTCAGTCGGTTGAGCGTCCGACTTCAGCTCAGGTCAGGACCTCACAGTTGACGAGTTCAAGCCCCGCATCGGGCTCTGTGCTGATGGCTCGGTGCCTGGAGCCTGCCTCTGATTCTGTCTCCCTTTCTCTCTGCCCCTCCCCCACTCGTGCTCTGTCTCTCTCTGTCTCAAAAATAAACGTAAAAAAAAAAATTAAAAAAAATTGTTGGAAAATGAACAGATGAGTACATGGAGGTTTTCATATTTTCTTTTTATTACAGAAAATTTCAAACATAAGACTTAAAAAAAAAAGATGGAAGTCTCTGAAATTGTTCAGAGTATAATGTACAGATAAAATTTTTTGCAAATTTTAGAAGACATTGGTATTTATTTAGTTGAGCAGCAGAGAAAGTTTCGAACCGTATTCAGGAAAAACACTGCATAAGAAGTTGCTACATTATTTGAATTAGTGTTTACTTTTTTTTTTTTGCTGTGTCACAGAATTCAAGTTAGTTAAATGCATGCACTCTCTAGGAGAGGAGGGTGCAAACTAAAGTAGGACAGTGAACTTGACAAACCTTCAGCACAGTGAGTACAAGAAACTCTGTATTGTGGATTGAAAACGTCACTAGGAAGAATTCTCTAACTTCAAGAAATGTAACACTCAGAAGGATAAAGAGGTTGTTATTTTAAAAAATTGAGTCAGGGAGGCCAGGGAAGTAAAATGCTAATCAGGCTGGGACAGGGAGATCCAGCAAATCAAAATATAAGCCAGAGAAGAAATAAACAGTCTAATTAAAATACTGCTGCCATTGTTTGCTTATTCTTAAATACTGGGCAGCTTTCCTTCTTTGTGTCTTATTCACTGTTTTCCAGTTTCACCAAATTTAATTCTGTACAAATACTTGCCATTCCCCTTTTGTCATGTGCTATACAGACCTCCTTTAAGTTTCTGTAGAGTATATATTAGAACCTATACGTCTCTAACGAGATCTAAACTCCAAAATGCTGAAAACTCTTCACCTGCTCTCAAAGTGTGTATCTGTGCTCAGTGCTAAACTCACAAACATTCTGAATGACTTATACAAATGTTTTAAGACTTTCAAAATTCACTTGGAAATAGAAGTTGAAAATTGACAAATCTAGAAGCAAATTTAACAGCTATCATACCTTTGTACTCTTACAATTGTACCATCTGGAAAAATACTTTCTTCTTGTCCATCAGGAAATAGGTTTTTGATCGTCTGGTCAGGAAACGTGATTTCTTTTCTCCCATTTGGGAAGTGTTTTTCTGTTTAAAAAAAATTACTATCAATATTTTTATTTATTTTATTTTTCTGTTTTTTTTTTTTTTTTTAAGTTTATTCAGTTTTTAGAGAGACAGCGTGAGATGGAGGAGCAGAACAGAGGAAATTTGAGAGGATAAAAACAGGGCTCTCTGCTAACAACAGGAAGCGCACTCATGTGAAGACTTCCGAGAACTGTGAGATCATGGCCTGAGCCGAGGTTAGATGCTCAACTGACTCAACTACACAGGTATTCCCTTTTTTTAAAAAGGAACCATATGATAAGAAAGGGGCAAACAAAGGCGCCTGGGTGCCATCGGTTCAGCGTCTGACTTCACAGGTCCGATCTAGCCAGTCCGTGAGGTTCGGAGCCATGCGTCAGGCTCTGGGCTGATGGCTCAGACCTGGGCCTGTTCGTGTCTGTCTTCCCCTCTCTGCCTCCTCCCATTCATACTCTGTCTCTGTCTCCAACCAAAATAAATAAACGTTGAAAAAAAAAAAAATTTAAAAAAAAAAAAAAAAAAAGGGCAGAACAAGTTTTTACCTATTTGTCCACTTGAAGCTCAAGAACCTAGACCTTCTGGGTAAGTAGTGTGAGTGGTCTGGGCAGATGCATAGTAGTAGATCTGTAAAGACACAAAGTCAGTATGCTTTTTCTCTGGAGATGTTTGTTTTTTTTTTTTTTTAATTTAACGTTTATTCATTATTAAGAGACAGACACAGAGAGTGAGCGGGGGAGGGGTGGAGAGAGAGGGAGACACGGAATCTGAAGCAGGCTCCAGGCTCCGAGCTGTCAGCACAGAGCCTGACACGGAGCTCGAACTCACGAACCGTGAGATCATGACCTGAGCCAAAGTCGTTACCTGACCGACGGAGCCACCCAGGCGCCCCTCTCTGGAAATGTTTAAGCCATGGAGAAAAACACTGCTATGTAAACCTACCACTCTCTCATCTGGCATGACTTGCTTCACATCACCATTAAAGAAAGTGACGGTGACAGTCTTCCCATCTGCACTCACTTCTTTTCGAGTTCCATTTGGAAACAATATAACATGGCACCCATTCTTATAAACCTTTTCTATCTACAAAATAAGAGAAACAAGATTATCAATATGAGAGATTTCCTCCTGAGACCAGATGATAAAAATGTCCCTCTTTTCCAAATTGACTACTTTGATATCTCTCGTAATACAAGCAACATTGTCACAAAAGGAGAAAAGTTAATAAACTCCCAAGTATCAACACACCACCATTCTTATGTCACCTATTCTACCAAAACCAACTCATTTTTTGCTGAATTTTCTTTTTTTAGAGTATAGTTGACTGTACACAATATTAGTGTCAGGTGTACAACATAGTGATCTTACAAGTCTATCCATTCTGCTCTGCTCACTTGTGGCTTTCCCATCGGTCTCCAAACTATTACAATATCATCAACTATATTCCCTGTGCTGCACCTTTCATCCCCATCCCCATGATTTATTCATTCCCTAACTGGAAGCCTGTTTTTCCCACTCCCCTTGACCCATTTTGTCCATCCCCCGACCCCTTCCCCTCTGGCAACCATCAGTTTATTCTCTGTATTTATAGGTCTGATTCTGCTTTTGGTTTATTTATTTAATTTTTTAGATTCCACATGAGTGAAATCATATGATACTCAGTCTGACTTATACCATCCAGGTCCATCCATGTGGTTGCAGATGGCAAGATCACATCCTTTTTATGGCTGTGTGATACTCCTCTGTGTGATATTCCTCTGACACACACACATCTTCCTTATCCATTTATTAATGTACACTTAGTTTGCTTCCATAAATTGGCTAGTGTAAATAATGCTGCAATAAACATAGGGGCACATACATCTTTTCAAATTCAGGTCTTCGTTTTCTTTGGGTAAATACCCAGTAGTGGAATTACTGGATCATACAGTATTTCTATTTTAAACTTTTTTAGGAACCTCCGTACTGTTTCCACAGTGACTGCACCACTTTGCATTCCCATCAACAGTGTACAAAAGGGTTCCTTTTTCCCCACATCCTCATTAACACTTTTTTGTCTTTTATTTCAGGCATTCTGACAGGTGTAAAGTGATACCTCCTTGTGGTTTTGATTTGCATTTCCCTGACAGTGATGATGAGCATCTTTTCATGTGTCATCAGTATGTCGTCTTCGGAAAAATGCGTTCACATCCTCTGCCCATTTTTTAACTGGATTATTTGTTGTTTGGGTGTTGAGTCGTATAAGTTCTTCATATATTTTGGATATTAACACCTTATCAGATATATAATTTGCAAATACCTTCTCCCATTCAGTAAGTTGCCTTTTGTTTTGTTATTGGTTCTCTTTGCTGTGGGCAAATGCTGTGTGCAAAAAGCTTTTTATTTTGGTGTAGTCCCAATAGTTTATTTTTGCTTTTGTTTCTCTTGTCTTAGGAGACTTATCTGGAAAAATGTTGCTATGTCCAATGTCGAAGAAAGTACCGCCTGTGTTCTCTTCAAGTACTTTTATAGTTTTAGGTCTCACATTTAGGTCTTTAATCCATTTTGAGTTTGTTTTTATGTATGGTATAAATAAGTGGCCCAGTTTCATTCTTTGCTGGTAGCTGTCCAGTTTTCCTAACGCCATTTATTGAAGAGACTATCTTTTCCCCATTGGATATTCTAGCCTCATTTGTCAAGATTAACTGACCGTATAAGTATGGGTTTATTTCTGGGCTGTCTATTCGGTCCCATTGATCTAGGTGTCTATTTTTGTAACAAACTAATTCCATCATCATGGTATAACCTCCATGCTGTTTTCTCTGAATTCATGAAAAAGACTTTTTACAGTTTATTTGATCAAAACAGGGTCACATACAACACTTGATATATGTCTTAAATCTCAACCTTTAACAGTCCCTGCCCTGCCCCTTTTTAATGATAATTACTTATTAAAGGACCTGGGTCATTAACCATATAAAATTTCCCACACTCTGGAATTGGTTGACTGCTTTCCCATTATGGTGTCATCTAACATGTTCTCATATATCCTTATACTTCCTGGAAACAAACTAGTAGTCACATCTAGAGGTGTGATTAAATTCTGGTTGAATTATTCTGACAAGAATACTCTCTAGGAACTGATGAGAGCTGCTTATAGCTACACATTCAGAAGGCAATCCCCTGCTGTCCTCATGAACTCAAGACCAACTGAGTCACATTAGTTAGATCTGCCATGAAGCCCCATCAACCTGTCATCCATGGGTTCATGGTTTTTCATGACTACTGCCCAGAACCTGGATTTCAATTAGAGATTGCAAAGTGATGATTCTCAAGTTTTCTCATTCCTTTTCCACTTATTAGCTAGAATTCTTCTTTAAAAAAAAAAACACCTTTTCCTGTACCAACTCTGCTTTAGTATAAGAAATTATTGGTGGGAAAGTCTAACTACTTCCTTTGACTATTGTTATTTTGTCCTTTCTCACTCCTCAAGACTAGCAGTGAATTTTGGCTTTATCATTTCAATTAAAATGGGTCAAATTAAGGTATTCAGAAAAGTAAATTTTCTATAAACCTGAGGAAAAACTACCTCATTCCCTCCCTGCTAACAAACCCTGTTTATGTCCCCCTTCCCTTTTCATTCTTACTTCTAGCTGGAACACTAAGCCAGGCGATTTCCTGCTCAAAACCTTTCCTAAGCACAAGAATAAAACTGTGCAGCTAGAGATGGACAGAAAGGCTGCAGGAAGGATAAGGCCTAGAACAGAGGCTTTTAAAAAGTACCAAACATTACAAAGGCTTTTTAGCTATGTTTAGAGAAAGAACAGAGTTTAAACAAAGAACTGTATTCCCTCCTTTGCTGTATCCCTAAACTAGAAAGGGCAACCAAATGCCTGTGTGTGTCTAGCATTTTTAGGAGTCCAAAGACTCAAGCTAAGGTCACACCCCAAGGAACTAAAGTTCGTAAGGTCCCTCAGTGGTCTTGAAGATCAATTATTTTAGAATCTTAAGTGTTCCAATTCTACTTTAACCTATACTTATTTCTTGTAATATTCATTATTTAAAAAAAAAAAAGTTTAACCTTTCCATCAGGATGACTGATTTCTCCCTGGATTTCTTCTTTTTCCTCTTTTTTGTCATCCTTTTTATATTCGGGATCTGAAAGGTCCACTGATTCAGGGGGCTCCCTGGGTGAGGCAGTCTGTAAGGACAAAAGGCTCTCTTTCATCTGTCATAAAGGACATGTAATAACATTTCAAGCAGCTAAAATTTACATTTATTTCCAAATGCCAGATTCTCCTATTATAGGATTTGACAGCTAGCATTTGGTGTTTATAAAAAACATTTACAGGGCGCCTGGGTGGCTTAGTCGGTTAAGCGTCTGACTTCGGCTCAGGTCATGATCTCACAGTTCTTGGGTTCAAGCCCCACATCGGGCTCTGTGCTGACAGCTTAGAGCCTGGAGCCTGCTTCAAATTCTATGCCTCTCTCTCTTTCTGCTCCTCCCCCACTCATGCTCTGTCTCTCTCTCCTTCAAAAATAAATAAAAACATTAAAAAATAAAAAATAAAAAAAACATTTACAATATTAGGTAAAAAACCTTTATAAATGGTTTAGAAACTTAAGTCAGTTAACTAAGCAGTTTCAAGCCTGAGTAATCTATGTTTAAATATATAAAAATATAGAGATTTACTTGTCCCTTATCCAAATTGCCTAAGTCACGAGGAGGCACAGTCTTGGATCTTCGAGATGGATTACCTGTTAGAATATAATTGTCGGAGTTAGTTTTCATATTTAATTGAAAGTTTTAAATTTACTTAATATTATGGTCAAATATTTCCTTAGTTCATATCCTTTTGTGAACTACTATCCTTTACCCATTAGCTAAGGAAGTCTTAATATTTTTCTTTACTAATTCATAGGAGTTCATTATAGAACTTCAAATATTTATTCAGGCACTTAAGTCCAGTGTGACCCAAGAAAGACAAGGACAATATCCATCTTCTGAGAATTTACAATCTGGAGGAACAGACAGGTGCTCAACTAACCTAACAGATGAATCCAAAGGTATTTTGGAGCTAATCACAAGGACTTTAGTTAGAGGTTAGATGTAGGGTAGATATAATAGAGGCATCCAAGAATACATCTCGAATTTTGCTTGACAAAATAATTGGGTATTAAAATCCAGACCTAATTGCTGTGGTTTAAACTGTTTAGGTTATGACCAGCACACCAATCATATACTATATTAGTAATACATACGTTATAGAATAAGTGTATACACATATACACACACTCACCAACAACAAATTAAGGTGAATTTTAAAAAATATACTGACATTCTAATATTTTTTTCCTATGATGCCCAAGGGGAGGGTGGGTGATGGGCATTGAGGAGGGCACCTGTTGGGATGAGCACTGGGTGTTGTATGGAAAACAATGTGACAATAAATTTCATATTAAAAAAAAAACAAAAAAACCATGCCCAAAATTTGCAAGTTTGTTTCAAGTACGTGCCACTGGATGCTACACAGAGAGCACACTAAAGAACAGAAGCAGAGTCCATTCAGGCAGTTGGCGGGCATCTGAGAAGGCTTGTGCAGTACCCAGGGAGACAGAAATGTTCTGACTGCACTGTGTTAAATCACTGATAGGTTCCAAAGAGCTGGGTTTCATATGGTTCAACCTAATTTATCAATTCAGAAACTATCAACATCAGAAGGATTAGTTTAGAGATCCCTGGGAGTGCATTTTGGCTTGGGCAAACGGGTAGATGGTTCTGGGGACGAGAGGAATGCTCTGTTTTGATGTGATAAACGAAGAACAATTGCCTGCACCTTACTTACATGTGCAAAGTAAGCTCTGTTGGACCTCACTCCTAAATGTTTTAACCATCCTCCATAGAAAAGACTAATATCCCCATTTTAGAGGTAAGGAAAACGAGGCTGAGGTTAAATAACGTACCAAAGTTGTCAGCTAATAAAGCAAACCAGGATTCAATCCTATGAAGCTTAATTCTTCTCTCAAGCTGTTCATGAGCAGGAACTGGAAGCCTCTAAGCAGAGACCCACTGAGAGGACCAGGACACATGAGCAGGACATGGAGCTCTGACTCCTGAGTCTGTGTTCACTACTTTGAGTATAAACATACCTTATAAAATTACATATCTTATAAAAGTTGGGACAGATTAAATTATTTAATAAACAGTGCTGGAATAGCTAGATATAGACAATATAGGAGGATAGGTTTATGACCGCAAGATAGGGAAGACTTAAGACGCACCACCCGTAAAGTAAAAAAACTGAAATTCAACAACATTAAGTAAGAATCTTGGGAATTGTGGGTAACTGTAAGGTACCATCAAGCATCATGGCAGTATAAGTCATTCCTTTTTTCCTTCCCTTTTTAAACAACTAATTAGACATCTATAACCAAATGAAAGTACCTCAGCACCTCATACCAAGGGATCTGGGAGCTTTCCTGCCTACCTGGGCATCCAAAAACAGGACCTCAGTAAGGGATGCATATCCAAGGGAGTTAGTGAACCTGCCCGTCCCCATTCACCATGACTGGAAAAGAAACCCAGAGAGCACAAACCTTGGTGGATATCCACAGACAAAAGAGAATTTGCAGAAGTCTAGTCCACCCTGAGGGGAGATTCCAACATGCCACTGGAACAGGACAGCGATGAGTTTGGATACAGAGAGGGAGGAACTTGCCAGAGCTGCTCCCCTCCCCAGGGAGACGCAGCACGCTAAGTTGTTTGGCAGTGGCAGTAACAACCTCTCCAAAGGAAGTGATAGCAAAGCAAAAGCAACAAGTGACTGCCCAGCTAGGCCAGTTACATGGGTTGTGGCTAAAGAAACATCTGTCTCCAACAGCACCCAGATCTCTGAGGAGAGACCCCCATGACTTGGAGAAGGAAAGAGAAAGGGAAGGAAGCATACTAGAATATCAAAGGTCATTACAGGAATGTTGTTCCTGCTGTCTGCTTCAGCACTTCAACATGAAGTCCACCCACAAGCCTCTGGTAGTACCCCACTCGAGGATCTTCCCTCAGGCCCACAGGCACCCTCAAAGCTGAAGTGCTAAACCCACACCTCTCCTAACTCTGCTACCAGCTCCTTATGTGCCCTCCCAACTATAACCAAAGAGCAAGATTCAGTAAACAGGGAGCATGCTCAGAAAATAGGCCACAGTTGGTGAGCAGGGGAATAACTACAAATTTGGGCCATTTTACCACCTTCTGGAATACAGAAGAATGGTTTCTAACAGCTAGACTGGTGAACTATAAAAACCAAAGAAATCATAAAAACTAAGAAGGTATCTGCTATTTCAAATAGGAAAGCAGAAGTCCATAGCTACAAACAGTATAAAAAATTAAGGAAACATGGCATCACAAAAAGAAACTAATAGGTTTCTAGCAACAAAACTCAAAGGCATGAAATGCCGCATCTGATAAAGAATTCAAAATTGCTCTTGTGAAGAAATTCAACAAGTTACAAGAAAACTCAAAGACAATTCCATGACGTCATGGAATAAAATTAATGAACAGGAGTTCTTTACAAAACAGACTGAAATTATAAACAAAAACCAAACAAATTCTGGACCTGAAGAATTCAACAAATGAGATGAAGATGCAATAAAAAGCATCTGTAGCAGAGCAGAACACATGGAAGAGAAAATAAGTGACTTGGAGGACAGGAATATAGAAATAACAACAGAAGAGGCATAGGAACTAAGATGAAGAAAGAGTGAGGAAAGCCAACAAGAGCTATGAGAGATTCCACCAGAGAGCCAAATATTGGAAGAATTGGGGTTCCACAAGAAGAGAAGGGACAGAGAGTTTATTTAAAGAAATCATAGCTGAGGAGCGCCTGGGTGGCTCAGTTGGTTAAGCATCCAATCTTGGCTCAGGTCATGATCTCATTGTTTGTGAGTTCAAGCCCCACATCAGGCTCTGTACTGACAGGTCAGAGTCTGGAGCCTGCTTCAGATTCTGAGTCTCCCTGTCTCTGTGGCCCTCCCCCACTTGTGCTTGCTCACTCTCTCTCTCTCTCTCTCTCTCAGAAATAATAAATGAATAAACTTTAAGAAATAAAATACAGAAATAATAGCTGAGAACCTGTCAAACATGGGCAAGGACTTGAACAAACAAGTCCATGAAACTAATAGGACACCCTATTACCTTAATGCAAGACCTTCTCCAAGATACATTATAATGGAACTGTCAAAAATTAATCACAAAGAAGAATCTTAAAGGCAGCCAGGAGAAGAAAAAAAAAAAAAAA